ATATGGGCCAACATTTCTAAAGAATGCTTTCAGCACCTTGTTGAATCAATGCCACGTAGAATTAAGGCAGTTCTGAAGACGAAAGGGGGTCAAACACTGTATTAGTATTGTGTTCCTAATAATCCTTTAGGTGAGTGTATATGATAATAATAGATACTTTACTGTGGGGAAATTGTCTTTACGCCTCCCTCAACTTGCTCTTTGAAGAGTAAGCTGTCATAGCAGCGCGCAGGGAGCTGGGGGTTAACTGGGTTGGAACTGGTGACCTTCAGATTACAGGCACACAGGCTTAGCCCACTGAGCCACATGCTGCCCCTCTCATATGGATGTACCTGTGTCCTTTCAGGCCACAATTTCTGGGTTTACAATGCTGAGAGTCGGGTCAGGGGCCCGGAATCAGTGAAGAGCCTGGGAGTTCCTGTCTCCGATATCCAGGCCACCTTCACCTGGAGTAAAACCAAAGACCGGAGGACCTACTTCTTCAAGGATGATAAATACTGGATCTTTGATCCCTCCAACAAGATGGTGGAAAGTCCACACCCATACAGCACGCAGAACTGGAGGGGATTCCCCAGCAACATCGATGCAGCCTTCCAGGACCAGCAAGGTAACAGAGATGTTTGAAGTGAACATTACCAACTAGCAATCCTCTTAATGATGACTTTGCTGCTGTAGCAGTCTGTATAAAGGGAAAGGGAGATTATTTGTGATATTTGTGTTATTTGTGCCTAAAAATGAACATTACAGTTCAAGAAAATGTATGATTTAAGATTTAATTAGGGGGCAGAAGATATATATTGGAAGGAAAACTTCAGCATATCAGAAACTGTAACTTAAATCCATAAGACCAAAACCAGTTCAGGACAGAATAGATGCAGCAGAGAATTTCCAAAGACCAGAAGGTTCTAATCTAAGGACTGTTATAGGATTATTATGATTCTTATCTATTATTAATATTATTAATAAATTATACATGTTGTTTGATCCCCTCCTCTTCACACCTTGTTATTGACAGGCTATGCCAATGTTCTTAGTGGAAGGCAGTACTGGAAGTTTGACCCAGTGAAAAAGAATGTACTGGAAGGCTATCCCCGCTATATTGGAGTTGACTTTTTTGGTTGCTGAAGGTCTTAAACAAGCCTGTGGAAGAGCAGCATTTCCACACTGGACTGGCAGGTGTTGGAACATCCTCATTAATGTCTGTCGCCCTCTGGTGTTCATTGGTTATACCAGCCTCAGCGAACAGGAAACAGGATTTCCAAGTCCCACTGCTGTTTCCGAAAGAACACAGTGAATCATCTTTAGATCTTCCTTGATGGTACAATGTTCACATTTACATTCTTTCAGTATTGGTGGGAGGCCTTAATATCAGTATCAATTAGTATTTAATATCAACATTAAATGTAGTCAGCTAATAGTATTTTTTTACCCAGTAGGCAGCAATATAAGTTATATGCAAATAATTATTTGAACTTGAAAGTCACAGACTCTCAGGAAAAAAATGAACATTTGAATTTGTATGTCTGAACTAATGTTTAGACACTTCATATAGCAGCTGTAATCCTGTTCATTGAAGAAACAAACAGCATATCTACCTTTTACAAGAAGGACGTGATTTCATATTTCAGTTTTGTAGCAGTATAACATTTTCTGTTTGTAACACATCAGGTACTAAATTGCTTAGACAATAGTGGCGTATGAAGCATCCACACATTAATACCTGTCTAACTTGTGTTATAAGCAGGAGTGTTTGCATTAAAATTCAAGGAGGATAACAACCACCAAACTGACTGCTGATCTATATTATATCTGTAGATCACTCATTCTCTCAGGCTTGCTTATATCCAGCAGAGTGCAGGAAAACTACTCATTTTAAAACCTGATAGCTTCTTCGAACATTTTTTTCAACTGTAGGAGTATTTACAGTGTGGGATGAACTTTAAACAAACATATAGCCAGCCCTAGACTTACAATGTAGGCCCGCACAAAAATTCACAATAACATTCATCCATCTTCCAACCTCTTATACTGCTATCCCAGAAAGCACAGGGCACAGGGCTGGGGAACACCCCGTGTGGAATGACAGTCTGTCGCAGGGCACACACACATCTTGGTACACATTTTACACTTTTCTTATATAACAATAACAATGACAAATATGAGGACGTTTGCCAAATCATTGATTGTATTTTGTCTGTGATCTTGACCACAGGTGGCAGACCACAACTTTTCTTCTGAAAAAAAAAGGGCAGCTAATTCCTAATTTTACAAACTATATGATTCGTATTACAGGCCACAGCATACACGGTTAGAAGAGGAATCGATGGAATACTTGGTGGTTTGTAGCCTTTTCAAGCAGTTTTTTTTAATAATGTGGAAATTATTATTTCAGCTCTCTCCACAACTCTCATCTGGACAACCCATCCGTTTTTTAAGGGTATTTATGTTGTCTTAACATAACAGATGATTTTTTTCATGTTTAACCAAAATATCATATGTAAAAATGTATAAATTATGTTTAATATTTCGATATAAATAAAGGTAATCCTCGCTCAGGCTTTGATCCTCTACGTGTGTTGTCCTATTTTGTCTGCTGAAAGCACTCGTTGGCAAACAGTCACACGGAAATACAATCTGCAGAACAGAAGCACGTACACAAACAAAAAGGAGACAACAGATTAAGATGCCCTTCGAGGTTGGCTACACATACGGGAACAATATGCTTGGAGACTTATTCTTTACTTTCCACAAAAATTTAAGCTCAGGATCGATTTTCCTTAGCACTTGGCGTCTCACAAACATACTCACTTTCTCATGCGCCATGTGCAAAATGACTTCAATACCGTTTGCGCTACAGACGACTCACTTCATGATTTCGGGTAGTTACTTGCTATTTAATGTCATTACAGGTTACACGATCAGTTTAAGAAACGTGCCCACTTTAATTATTTCCCCGGTGCCGACAGACCAATCAAAAAACGATGCGTGGAGCAGTAACTCGCCCAGCCTCCGCTCGATCTCAGAATAGCAGCAGGGTGGGTTTGCCGGAGAATGCCGTGTGTTTGGTTTACCTCTCCATCCACGTGGAGCCTCCAGACTGACAAATGCGAACTTCATAATTTCTAGTATCTCGTTTTACCTTCTGATTGGTCAGATTCTATGCCAATCAAATACGTTTGTCGTTGACTGGCTTAAAGTTTTAAAACAAACATCTATTTTGAATGCGATCGCTAGCTGTTATATCAGTAACAGCTGATTGGCCGCCAATACGGCAATCTAACATGCGATTGGTCTTTACATGTGTCATTCATCGTTTTCTCCGGGGTTTTTACTTACTGAACGGCTTCTTACTCGCTGAATTAGACGTGGGCGTTGCGGCTGCTGGAAAGTCAGGGTAATGCTCATCTTGAATTCAAAGGGGACATTGGTAAATACAACCTACCAGAAGTGCATTAGTTATTTTTAAAGGCCCGTTCGGAAAGAAAGGACTACTATGGCACAAAGCTTTACGCAGGAGTATCTACTGATTCCCACCGTCACCAGAGCGTATACGACAGCCTGCGTCTTAACCACTGCAGCCGTGGTAAGTACTTGGAAGGGAGTAGAACTATTCAGTATAATAACTTTGTACCATCTTTAACTATCCACTTGCACAGGTCATCAGCTGTGCAGAACAATTTATTTAATTGTACACTGTACTGATGAGAACAAAAGTATTCTATTAAACGCTTATTAATTTTCATGATATCAAACGGCATAACAGCGTAACAAGTGATTTACACTTAATACTTGCCACAAGACCAAGGGCGCAAATCTCTGTATGGACGGTGGGAAAATGCCCCTAGCACTACTATCGTGGCAGTACTATGTATGGTTAGGGGGGCCGGTGGTTCGGGGCCCATTTGGCCCTAACCAGTGTTGAAATCAGTCCTGTGCCCTTGCACGAAACTATTGCATACCTCAAACATGTATAGTTATACTAGTCTAATACATGTAGTTTTAAACATTGTGTGCGTTTTTCCATTATTCAATCTGTACAGAAATTGTAAAAGACATTTATTTAAAAAAAAAGCATGGTTTAAGTATGGTTTTTAGAATTGTCATTTAAAACCGATGAATTTATGATGCGTGATACTTATACCTTTACAGCAGCTGGAATTCATCACCCCGTTTCAGCTGTATTTCAATCCGGACTTAATTTTTAGAAAATGTCAGGTAAGAAAATTTTCGTTCGTTTCAATCCGTTCTATAAGTGAATACAAAATGGAACCGTCTATAAATTAACACTGCGACATTAATGCCGTGCAAATATTAATTTGCAAATATGCTTGCATATTTCTTCTCAAAGATGTGGCGCCTGATAACCAGCTTCCTCTTTTTTGGACCTCTCGGATTCAGTTTTTTGTTCAACATGGTCTTTCTGTATCCTTTTGGCTGTTGAGCCTGTATGGAGATGTTCCATATCTTTCTAAATTTATTTTTTGCTGACTGATTTTTTTTCTTGGTGTTTTTGTTTGGTTTACAGACACCGAATAAAATGTTATTTTCTTTTTAAAAAGGTTCATCAGAGCCAATTTGCATAACCGCTTGTGCCCTCATCTCCACAGCTGTTTGCCAGTGCTGTTCCGCTTCCTTAGCCAGCGAGATTTCGATACTGTCGCATGTTGGAGGAGGGCTCCTTCCGGGGCCGGACGGCAGACTTTGTCTTCATGTTCTTGTTTGGGGGGGTCCTAATGACAGTATCCTTCTCATTCCTATCTGGCAGCGTGGTCACACCGGTGCTACGTCCAACCGCAGGCTCTCCTGGAAGATGAAGCAGGAAAACATTTCAGATATAGAGTTAATGACCCCACAGACACACACACCTTTTTTCAATATACAAAACATAGGTTCTACCTCCCATAGTGAGCTTGGCTGTCTACAAATCTTACATAACGGTCAGGAGCCAGTTGGCATCAGATACTGATACTGTATCTTTGCTAACCGAATTGTGCTTACATACAGGAACTTAGCCATACCCGACCCTTACCGCGAAGAGACACTACTTACAGTGTGGCTCCAGCTTGCTTCAGTTTTCCACTGCAGAAGGTTTGGCTCAGTAATGGCGTTGCCCGGTTTGGAGAGCGACAGTCACGTCATGCCCGTAGGTGAGCCTGTGTGAGTGAATGGTGTGTAAGTGTGCCCTGCCATGGGCTGGCACCCCGTCCTGGGCTGTTCCCTGCCTTATGCCTATAGGTTCCACACCCCCCGCAACCTTGAATAGGACAAGTGGTTACAGAAAATGGATGGATGGATATAGAATATGCCCTTTTTTCCTACAGATGATCCATGCATATTGACATATATCACCGGTATCTCCGTGCATTTCAACCAATCAGATGGTAGTGATGCAAGCAGCTCAGTTTAGTCACACGTTCATGGATGCAACTGTCATAATTTACAGTGGCTCGTGCCATAAGTGTGACTGCCACCATGTTCAGAGGAAATCCAGAAAGAAACCCTTGGTTCTCCCCCACTGCCAGGCTCCACTCACAAGGGCCTAGACCACATGTTGTCCTGGGCCCTCTGGCCCCCTTCACCAAGCCAGAGCATGTCTTTAATACATGTTGCTTCCTTTGACGGCTTCTCTGCAGATCTTTGGCCTGTTCTCCAACCTGTTCTTCCTAGGCCAAGCCTTCACCATCATGTTGGTGTACATCTGGAGCCGCCGCAACCCCTACGTCCGCATGAACTTCTTCGGCCTCCTCAACTTCCAGGCTCCCTTCCTGCCCTGGGTGCTCATGGGATTTTCCCTGTTGCTTGGCAACTCCATTGTCATTGACCTCCTTGGTACGTTTTAGCTTTAGTGGGAAAAATGACTTTAGCCGTCAGGAGAACAGTGTTGTGGCTTCCCAAATGATTATCTGATAATGAACGGCAGAAAACGACTGAGGCAGGAGGTCACATGTCTTGTATAGCATGACCTCTTTGTCAGATGGAGTAGATTGAGTCCAAACGTGGCACTTTTGGTTGAGTGGGCAGCCTAGTCAGTGGTTAAATGCTTTTACATATTTTTTTAATTCCTTGTGGAAAATGAAAGCTCAACCTGCAGGCCAGATTTAATAATGAATTAAAAGATGTTGCAGGCTGGCAGTTTGAGACCTCGGGCATAGACAATACTGCATTTTAAGCCTCAGATGTTATCTCCAGCTCACATTCTGCTTGCACACACCTGTTACCCTCAACACGACAACAATGACTATTTCTAATCATCTCTACTGAACATAGTCAGCTGCAACTGAAATCTTCCCTGACCAGTTATAAGAGGGTATGGTGTGCCAAACACATTTGACCAACGAATTTGAGATTGTTGTTAAATTTGATTTGTTGAAATTTGTCGGTTGCTCAAGCTGAGATCCTAGCCTCGTTACAGAAGCCTCCTGGTAGCAAAGTTTGGAGAACCTTCACCCTGTCAAAATCCAAAGCATACTCTTTAATGGTGCATTTCTCATCCCCACAGGCATCTGTGTGGGGCATGTGTACTACTTCTTAGAAGATATATTCCCAAACCAGCCTGGTGGCAGAAAGCTTCTCATTACTCCTGGTCTCCTGTGAGTAACTGGTAATCTGCCATCTTCCCATCCAAAATCTCCATTGAAGGGTCTGATTACATTTTAAAGCTACTGGTCAAACAGCGACCTCCGTATTTAGAGTTGATTCGATTCTGTCTAAACAGCTAACCATAGTTAATTAGCTAACCATTAGTAAATTCATTCTTCTTCCATAACAGGTTATCCAGTACAGAGTCATGCTGACCTTTGATACGAATAAAAAGGAAAATAATAAGCAGCTTAGAATAGAAGCATTCAACTAAATATAACATAAAATGAAGACTAGGGCTGCACAATATCACATAGCCATAAGTGCGCATGCGCAATAATCACCAGGGCTTTAGACAATGGCTGTAAAAATAAACTGGGATGCCAGCTATTCTGTACTAAATGGGTATTTACTTACTCTCGCAGTTTGATAAGCAGATTAGTAGTACGCCTGAAATCATTAATAAGAGCCCATAAGTTAGTAATCACATCATATTTGTCTGCACTGATTTGTGTTTGTTGACACTCCAACACCAACACTCTATTGCAGGAGTGTCAAACTCAATCGCACAGAGGGCCAAAACTCAAAGCACACTTTAGGTCGCGGGCCGAACAGGATAAACATTTATTGAACAGATTAAAATTAACGTTTTTTTGCACATAAATATGAATCGAAACAGACAGGATACAATATTATTCCAAAATAAACTTAAACTTAAAATAACTTTAAATATTTTGCTCTCCATAAAAATATCTCCTGTAAAAATGATACAAATTCAAAATATGAATATGCTGCAAATATAAATAAAAATTGTGCTTTTAAGTGGAAGTTAAAATAATAATTAATCAAAACATTAAATTTTCGTTGCTCTTACTCCATTCTGTCAGAGCTGTAATGTTGGCATCTTGGCAACAAGTTCGTTTATGTTTGGAGTAAGGTTCCATGTTGTGGAGATTCTCTCTCAGCCACATTAGCTCCACAAACAAGGCACACAGGTTTACCGGCAATGTCAGTAAACATATACTCAGTCTCCCACTGGTTTTGAAAGGCTCTGTTTTCAGAATTAACTTTTCTCTTGGCCATTGTTAGGGGCTAGCTTTGACTTGAAATTAGGGTTGTATACATCAACAGACGCTTGATTGATCTGACGTAATTGACGCGGGAATGATCGCAGGTAGACTGTCGTTATCGGTGGTAAGGCAGCGGTTTTTTATTTTGGGTAAATTTTATCTCCTTTTTTGGTTTATAGATGGCACAATATTAAGCTTAAATATTCCAAATAATTGTGATCTGATGTCGTGCAGCCTTAATAAATACCACATGGTCTTTTATGCGGCATGTGTAAGGAATGTCGGATGTCACATGTATTCCTGTTTTACAGAAAGACAATTTTTGATGCTCCTGAGGGGGACCCTGATTATCTCCCTCTCCCAGAGGAGACAGAAAGGGGTCTTGGACCAGAAGAACTCCCTCAGGACCCCCAAGATCCAGCCCCCCCACGGCAGTAGAAATGAGATGGAGAATGGGGCGGGGGGGGGGGGGGTATAGGAACTGTGAAAGGTTCTATTTATGTGAAGGTGACTTTGGGGACATTGGGCTTGAAGGCACCTAGTTTGGGGGCCAAGGGAGCAGCTGGGAATCAGGTCCTTCACATCACAGTGCTGATTCCAACCAAGGGCTCCCTCATGTCACACCTGACAAACTACCTGGGGATTGCAGAATCCACCACTAACACTTGGGGTTGTGGTTGGTTAGCTTGTCTGGCTTTTGTCAGGTCTAGTTTACACCAGGTCACTGCCAAAGCAAGAGTAAGGGAGGAGCCTGAGAGGTCCGACTAGTACCTCCCATCTCTTTGCCAAGTGAGGAAAATGAAAAAGCCCCTTTTAGCTTGTGTGCTCATGAGCAACATAGACCCAGCTGTCCTTCAGTGAATTAACCCCGAATCTGATGTACTTAACGTGAAACCGTTGTCATCATCTCTACCCATGCTGCTGACATAAGCCAACAGGGCAGCAGCAGACTCCCACCCATCCCTGGGTCGCTGACAGGGTCCTGCTTGTGCAGAAGCCGAGTGAGGCTCATGTACAGATGTGCCAGCTGCACCAGCTGCCTTTGTGGCCAGCTCTGGGTCGGCAAACTGAAATAATCGTCTACAGCGCCTATTCGTCTATTATTTAACGGGAGCTGATTACAAAATGTGGAGCAGAGCCAAATGCTTAGGAATGAGACAGAATGACTGCATTAAGCAGCAAACTGAGGCACTTCCACATATAAACATAAAATGCGTATGCAGCCATGCACATATGCTGTAAATAAAGGAAGTTTAACAACAAGCATGTCAGTTTTTTAAGCTGGACCACATGACATCTAGCTTAAGGGAACACCTGCTCTGAACACTAACCTTTGTTTATACACCACCAGATTCAGATTTTTTCCATTCTGCAGATGATTTTGTCCAAGGCGACATAAGCAGGTTCCGGCAGTCCATGGAGCAACTGGGGTTGAAAGCCTTGTTCAAGGGCCCAACAGTGAAATCACTTTGCCGAACTTGGGATTTTTACCAGCAACCTTCCAATCGTAGGCCAACTTAGCCCACTGATCACCACATCAAACGACGGTAACATTACAATCTAAATGCATCAAATCTGGTTGATGTAGGACTTTATTTTGTTCTTTACAAAAAAAAGCAATCATAGCACCTATAACAAACACCATTAAAAAGAGAAACGCTATAGACGTAATATTTTCCACATGAAGTTTCTGGCTCTACATCGGAAACGGCAGGTTCTGCGGCTGAGCGGAATGCCATTCGGGATCAGTGTGGTCTGGGTATGAGTCTGGACCCCAGCATGGCTGGAGGGCGAGTGTCCAAACGGAGAGGGCGTTTAGGAAGACGGCAGGCCTGTGCAGGGTGATGCTGTGTAGGAAAGGGAAGGGGTCCCCCTGACCGCCTGGAGGAATGTCGCCCACCGAGGCGCTGGTCTACTCATGAGGGATTCCCCACAGTCTCTCTCTCACTCCGATGTCATGGTGAGGGGTCCGAGTGACAGGAGACCCGGTGGCTGCTGACTCACCATGCTGGGGCCGTGTTGGCGAGTCGCCGCATGCGCCTGAGATGGAAGCGTGCAGATAAATGATCCAACACCAGACACCAGTTAGGATCCATAACTAAACTATAAAGTCCATCCTGCGATGCATCCAGGAGATTTTTTACTTTTTGTGCCTCAAAAGGCGTACACACCTGGTGTTCCTGTCCTGGTCCCTTATCTTTTTCTCCATCTCCGCATCAGTCAGGGTCTCTAGCAGGGGGCACCACTGATCAGCATCGCCCGTGTTCCGGATGGCAATCTCCACAGTAGGCAGGGGATTCTCACTAGAAAAGGAAAAGAAAATTGCCACCAACATGGTCAGGACAGTTAAGCAGAGACCAAATTGCCATATGACAACATCAGCCAATCATTGAAGCAGGAGTACGGAGGGAAAAAAAATTCTGCAAACAGGAAATCAACTTTAGTATTTCTGCCAAATAGGAACTAAATTAGGTACTCCTATGCATATTCATTATTTTGTTTATTAAATGATCTTTTCATAACAGCTCAAAAGATAAAAGCATGCACGGGTTTACGTTTAAGTGCTTGTGTAGAGAATTCAGTCTTTACAGGCCTTCCGTAAGCAGGAATTATCCTGTGTAGTGCAGTGCAGAGAGGCCACTGACAAGCAGGCTTAAATTAAATTAAAGGCAGAACACAAGAGGAAGCCTTTTGTGAGAGAGCCATCACAGCCGTCCAACTTGGGCAGAGTTCATTGATACGGTCTGGGCTACGGCTCTGAGAGCCGGGCAGGGCGGCCCGTCTGCGGTGCGCCACTCTCCGCCGGGTTTCTCAACCGGGCACGACCTGAGCTCAGCCAAATTCAACATTTTACACAGACATCTGTCGTTTAGACCGAGATCGGCCCTGCGGCGTTTCCAAAAAACAAAAAATAAACAGACAAACGGATAAGTGTGAGGTACTCAGCTTCCCAAGGTCTGAAGATGAGAGAGAACTCGAAACGGGGGTTAAGCTGGGGGAGAGGATCAAGAAATGCACAAGTGTATTGACCTGAAATCAGACCTATTGGAACAGGGAGAGGCACAGTTAGGGTCAAAAATGGCACGAACAGCACTTACAGAACAAACTCCATCAATAAAATCTGCCTTTGTGTGGAACACATGGCTTAAAAACACACACTGGAATAAAACAGCAGCAGTATGCGTCACATGGGTGACAATCAAGCTGAAGCAGCGTAACACATGCACCCTATTTAACAGAAATAAAGCTGCAGGACAGATTAAAACACTGGGACTCTTCAGTGACTCTGTAAGGAGATAACTGGGTAGTTAAGGCAGTAAACTGAAGAGGTAAGTGAATTGCCATTAAACACAGCTTCCAGAGGACAGAACGTTAAATATGATGAATGATGTAATGACTGCGTCAAGGAGGTACTGTATAAGGTATCGTTTAAGACACCCAAAACCCCTTATGGATTGTTCCCAACTCAGCTGTCTGGCATTGGATTTAAGCTCCTCCCAGCTACTGTGGATCTTCTGTGTACATTGTTGACTACATCTCTGGATGTGGGTGCATTACAGCCACAGACTGCCCCCTATCTGATATTGTGTATCGGTGCATGTTTCTTTCCACTGTGATTTATCTGCTGCACAGCACATAGGTAGGTTTGGCTTGTGGCGGTTGCCAGTGCGTATGTGTGTCTGTGCCCCCTTCTAAGACACGCTGGTCCTGCACTGGCAGCATACCTGAAGGCGTACGTCCTCTGGTGCCAGCTGAGCTGGCCGCGGATGCTGTAGGCGATGGTGGTGACAAATTCGCCCCCCAAGCCCAGCTCCGAGCACAGCTTCAGGGCGAACGTCTCTGGCGAGTTCTCCTTCTCCGACATGTCCCATTCGAACTGGTCCACCAGGGAGATGTTCCCCACATGGATGTTCAGCTGGGAGCGGGAAGTAGAGAGAGCAGTCAGAATTGAACATGAGCACCGTCTGGGAAGGCAGGTCTGCCAGGAGATAAGGAAGCAAATAAGGGCTGAGGATACTTAAGAAAAAGCAGGAAAGTAAGCACCTCAGATCTGAAGGAGTTGGAAACCTCATACCTAGAAAAATAATAATTTATTTAATTGAGCAGACGCCTCTGTCCATAGCAACGTGCACGTGAGGCAAAAAGCAGAACCATAAGACTAGGCATAAGTGCAGATAGGCTGATCTTCTGGTGCAGTGTTTCCCAGCTGGAAGCTGAGAGGACGCAAAAACGTGGACTGTCCGGGGTTCCCCGAGGACTGGGTTGGGAAACACTTATGGTTAATGTCCAGATAAAAATGTAAGCAGTATCAGGGCAAGAGCTACGCAACATTTTCCAAACAAAGCAGGACCCTAATAAGGCAACAAATCACATAAGCCCAGCATTGTCAACAAAGCGTAGAGTTCAAAGGTAAGCTAGAAGTGAGGACTCTTCTACACTCTCAGCAGAAGGACTGACTGAATTCTGGTGGGTGTCAAACATGGACGCAGTTTCAAAGATGCTCTGCAAAGCCTCCGGAACGTTCCCCACCCCCTCTGCATGCACACCTTGATGATAACCCGCTGGTCCGTCTGTTCGTCCAAGATGCTGTCCGTGGGGTATGACTCGATCTGCTGCCGGATGGCCGAGGCAATAGCGGGGACGAAAGTCAGGGGATTCAGGTCTAGGTCATCGCAGAGAATCTCAGCGAACATCTCTGGAGTTATGAGCTTCTCTGGGGGGGATGGTAGAGACCAAAACAACCTGTTATGCAATGACTAGGGATAGGAGGCTGTGAAGGGAGGGGGTGCGGGCGGGGCACTACTCCCAGACAAGGAATCCGATTATCCCATGGGCAAAGTAGGCCAGAATCATACCATTCATGTTCCAGGTAAACGCATCCCTAAGTTTCTGTCCATCGATCTCCATGTCGAGCCGGATCGGGACTAGAACCTCGGGCTGCATGGCATTCTCATGAATCACGGCTGGGTCATGGTCATCAAAGCTGCGAACAGTAAATGAGGGATGATGTCACTTCCTCCCTAAGACTGACTTGCCACATAAGCTTCCAAAACAATTCTATGAAGACCATCAAGATAACTGCAGTGACAAACACATACAATGGTTGAATAATACGTGAGTTGTTTTTAGAATATAGACTGCAGTACTAAATTTTACCCTGATGTGCCTCCCCAATCAAGCATACCTTCTCACCTGAAACAGCCACAAAATAGCAGGCTCATGCTAAACTGCAGCATCATTTGCCCAATGCTAACGGACGCATGGGGGCCCCAGAGCGATCAGAGCCTCTGCAAAGTTACTAGCTGCATTTGACTGTGTAAACAGCTGGAAACAAACTTATCGGGAGGCTCATTATTTGGGAATGCAAAACTGACACGCTTCCATGAACCTACGACCTTAACAGTAAGGCTTCCATTTTAGCAGTGCAGGAAGAGCCTGAGGGGGATCAGGCCACAGAGCTCACCACAGTGGGAAGGTCCTCTTCTTGTCGCGGCCCATGCGGTTACGATTGATGGTGGTGGAGCAGGGCACAGCATCAAGGTGGTGCGAGCTGTTCGGCAGGGTGGGGACCCACTGGCTGTTCCGCTTCGCTTTCTGCTCCCTGAGACCACAGCAGGGTTTTAAGCGTGACCCTCAAAAGGCTTTCAGATGACTTTTGAATGGACCAAATTTTACGATGGTTTAACATGAGTGCAAAACATAACAAAACTATGGTTTACAAAGAACGGAGCGTAGGAAAATGTGAAATTTTATTTTAAGGGCTCATAGGCACCTGGAGAATAATCCACAATCCCTTTCCAGAATCTTATCACTTATTACCTGAGGTACGCAGGGGGCTCTGTGCTGATGGAAACGGCTTTGTACTTCTCATCGTTCCCTTCCAAGATCTCCTCAACTTCAGATGCCTTCAGCAGAGTCACACTGGTGGCTAAAGTTGTGTAACCATGATCTAACACAAAGAGAACACTGAAGACACTGCTTCCAAAATAAAAGTCCAACTTTTAAATGGCCCTCTGAAGGAAGCAAGGCAGTAGCTTTCTGCAACGTACCCTATTCGGTAGTGATGGAAAAAATGGCACTTCATGAACCATTTGCTATATTTTTGGACCCCACTAGATGGTACTCTCTGTTCAAAAAAAGGACGCAAAGTGTGCCCCAAAGCAGATTAAGAGCACCATCTAGTGGGGTAAAAATACATGGAAAAATGGATTATGAGGCACCTTTTTTCCATCACCACTTTTCCGCTAAGGGTATGTACAGAGGAGAATAGGAGGACCAGCAGAAATCACACGACCCCGACGAAGCCTGAACACTCACCGTGTGACGAAGCTACTATTTTCTTCCGCTCTTCCACCGACGCTAATCTTCTCCAGAGCGATGGGTACCTCTTATACAGAGAGCCCCTGAACATGCGCAAATAATTTCCTACCTGAAAGCAAAAGACGGTGACTAAAACTGAAATTTAATGTGGCAAATACATTTCACAATATAATGCACTGCATACTGTAGTGTTAATAGTCTGATACAGGTTACAATGGCAATATCATACCTTTCTTACAAATGTTTTGGCAGGTGGGGGTTGAAATTTTTTTTTATGAAAATTACGCTAACCTGTTGGTTTTATAGCATGTTAAAATGTTTATGAGCAACGGGCGATGCTAATGTGTTTAACAGGTAAGCAGTTAAGGGGAAATGCTGAACCCATATTCACGATGAGGAAGATGTTGTAGGGGGCTTGTTTCTCACAAAAAAGCAGACACCCTGGACCACTTCAGTCGGACCACTCATACAGCTGCGTGGACGTACATGATAAACAGCAAGCTGTATGAGGTGGCCGGAATAATAAGTAACAAAATCCCAGCGCCGCAGCTTGATAATTATGATTTAAAGGTCGGCGATTCCGGATACAACGTCGCTTCTTAGGAATAACACCATTTTACTACCGCCTTTAATAAGCTTTCGTAACGAATATCATTCATTCAGGATTCAACATTTCGGGCTCGTTTGCGAGGAAGAGAAAACGGCGATCTTTAAAATGCATTTGCGTGGACTGTATTTTATTGTTAAATTTTAAACCCAAAACAAGTAAGAGTTCAATGTGGGGCGTCGACAAAGCATATAATTTACAAAATATAAAAGAATGTGATGGGTTCCCCCGGCTGGCGAGCACGTACGGCGAGATGAGAGCATCCATTCACTCAACATGAACATGAAACAATGAATCAATTAAGTTGAATGGCTAGCCGGTATTATAAGCAAAGATATTTCACAAACCGTAAAAAAAATATATATATAATCGCAAACGGTGTTCTGGCAATAATATTCTCATTCCAACATACAGACCTCCGAGCCAATCATATAAAAATCCCCATCATCTTCTAGCTGAAATTTCACCGGTTTTTGTCCAAATGTTTTACTTAACGCCATTTTGGCTGGAAACACAAAGCGGGGCGGCGCGCATGCGCAAACATAAAGCCGGAAGTGTAAATTCGGTGGCGTTTAAGGGCGTCAAGCAGCGCATGCTGTGGGAACGCGCTGCGCTGAGTTTGTGCTTGATGTTTTGGGGACTGTTGGGGATTGGAAGTTAACGGTATAAAATTTCCTGTACTGTTTGGTTATAGTTGAATAGGAAACAAATTAAAACATCAGTTTCTTTTTAATCCTTACGAGTATTTATATGCCATCCATCCATCCATCCATTACCTTCCGGTTGTCCGGGGTTCGTGTCACGGGGATAGCAGCTTCAGGAGAGATACCCAGACCTCCCTCTCCCCAGGTACCTCTACCAGCTCTTCGGGGGGGATGCCGGGGCATTCCCAGGCCAACCGAGAGATATAATCCCTCCAGCGTGTCCTGGGTCTGCCCCGGGACCTCCTCCCTGTAGGACATGCACAGAAAACCTCTCCGGGTAGCCACCCAGGAGGCACCAGATGTCCAGATGCCTGCAGAACTGCAGACACCGCTCCGATTCGTCTGTCCAGCTCTCCATCTTGCCTACCCTCACTCGTGAACGAGACCCCAAGATACTTGAACTCCTCCACTTGAGGCAGTACCTCCTCCCTGACCTGAAGATGGCAATCCACCCATTTCCGTTCGGAGAACCATGGTCTCGGACTTGGAGGTGCTAATCCTCATCCCCGTCGCTTCGCACTTGGCTGCAAACCGCCCCAGAGCACACTGGAGGTCCCTAGCAGATGAAGCCAACAGGACGACATCGTCTGCAAAAAGCAGCGAGGCAATCCTGAGGCCACCAAACTGGACACCCTGAACACCCTGGCTGCACTTAGAAATCCTGTCCATAAATATTATAAACAGGACCGATGACAAAGGGCAGCCCTGGCGGAGCCCAACCCGCACTGGGAACATGCTATGCTATGCGCTATGCGCTTGGGCCTACCAGGTCTGACCGGCTTCCTCCCCTGCCACCTGAGCCAACCCACCACCAGGTGGTGATCAGCTGACAGCTCTGCCCCTCTCTTCACCCAAGTGTCCAAGACAGAAGGCTGCAGATCAGATGATACGATTGGATTGCCAATTCTCCTTGGATTGCCACCTTATCGTGGTGTAGGGGTTTGCGTGCCTCAGTGACACCGGGGGCAATGTCGTCGGGTGCAATAGCACCTGGTAGGGTCTCCCAAGGCAAAAAGGTCCCAGGGGAGGGGCCAGACAAAGAGCAATCCAGAAAAACCCCTATGACAAAGAATTCTATCAAGGTCTTGTTTCCCTCGCCCGGACTAGGGTCACCAGGGCCCTACCCTGTAGCCAGGCCTGGGGGAGGGGCCCGTTGGTGAGCACTTGGTGGCTGGGCCACAAGGGGAATGTCAGGGGTTCGGTGCATTGTGGATCGGGTGGCAGCCAAGGGAGGCCCTGGCGGTCCGATCCCCGTCTGACTATTTATATGCCATGATACTTTATTCTTTGTGACCAGGGGGGTTTCTAGCAATTGAAAAGATCAGGGGCTAAGTGAAGTTTACGTGGGCCTTGACTTTTTTTTGAAGGATGATTGGCATCGGGGCTAAAATACTTGGGACTATAGCCGTGAGTAATCGGACCTAACACAGGGTTGGCAACTCTCACGCTACAGATTCTCACTCTGACTCTCACACTCACGCAAGAAATCTTGTGGCAAATTTATGTTATTCCATTTTACACCTACAATTAGCTGCATTAAAAACATTGTTGTAGTTTGCAAAACGTATAGACTATTTACATGGTAATAAACCTGTCACATACATGTAAATACGTGTGCAGACATGTCTTGAATTGAAAATCTCATGCCATCCAGCTGACCAAAGTTCGCGACACAGCTAACAACGCCCAAGTTCGTGACTGAGGTAAAGAGTTCTGGTGGTCCCATTTTACCCTTTTTCTTCCTCATTTAAGGTGGGTGGTAAATGTGATGTAATTCTGATAGATGGGCTTACCAGAGAAGAGGGTTAATCCAAGATCTCAGTGACTCATGACGTACTTCAATTCTGTAGGTGACGTCAACAGACATCCCATCTCAGGGATATTGATTTCATGGAGGCAGATGAGGGGCATCTGGGAAGTCGGGGTGCCACCTGAGGTGGGGCAGGATGATAAGAGAGTAAAATTTGCTGCCTGAGACTAAAGAGTGGTGGTAACATTTGGGGCGAGTTTGCAGCAGTAAAACATCTTGTTGGCTAATTTTACCACCACTTAATAGCAGAATGACAGACTTCCGGGACATTGAGCATCATTTGCGGGTATCAGGGAGCTGCCGTAAATTTGCAAGAGACTCCTGGAACTTCTGGGAGTGGTGGGACATCTGCGTCAATGCTGCAGCAGATTCATGTTTGACTAATGATGCCTATCTTTGACAGTCTCAACATTTTGATTAGCCACAGCAGCCTCATCTGATTGACATCTGATTATTAGCATCAACAAACCTGCAGATTGAACTCATCCAGCTCATCAAGCAACAAAAATGGCCGTGTGTGGGTTAGGTGTCTGTGCTTGAAGGTCATTGCTTCAAATCCTGTAAATTGCAGGGTATTTGTATCACTACTGGATGCTTTAGCAAGGTCCTTAAACCTCAAAATTGCTACAGGGGCTCTGTAAAAATGTGTGTCAGAGGAGAGCTAGATGTGACGTCCTTATATGGATAGCAAAGTATCATTACTATTTCACTCAACATTCTTGCTGCTATACGAGGGAATGACATCATCACCATCATCATATCATCAAAATGTACATTACTTTGGATGAAAGTGTCTGGTAAATAAATAAAAATTATTTAGAGAGAGGGGCAAATTTACTAAGCCTCCAGAAAGGCCTGAATGTCTCTGTAAGTTACATGACAACAGATGGGTTTATTGCACTGATTATTCTGTGATGGCTCCCCTGGGGTCAGACCAGGCAGTGCTTGATGGTTCATGTCAAATCCCACTAGGCATGGGTCCCAGAGCTGCCATCTTCTGAGAAATCAATGTTGTTTTTATGTCTGCTTGTAGAAGGTCACTGAGAAAAATGCATATACACTCACTGGCCACTTTATTAGGTACACCTGTCTAGTACCAGGTTTGACTCCCTTTTGCCTTCAGAACTGCCTTAATTCTTTATGGCATAGATTCAACAAGGTGCTTGAAACATTCCTCAGAGACTTTGGTCCATGATGACATCACACAGCCACTGCAGATGCAGATCTGTCAGTTGCACCTTCATGATGCGACTCTCCCATCGACCACGTCCCACAGGTGCTCTATTGGACTCAGTGACTGAATCTGGTGACTGTGGAGGCCATTTGAGTGCAGTGATCTCATGGTCATGTTCAAGAAACCAGTCCGAGATGATATGAGCTTTGTGACATGGTGTCTTATCCTGCTTGAAGTAGTTATTAGAAGCTGGGTGCACTGTGGTCATACAGGGATGGACATGGTCAGCAGCAATACTCAGGTAGGCTGTGGCATTTAAACAATACTCGCCTGGTACTAAGGGGCCCAAAGAGTGACAAGAAAATATCACCCACACCATTACACCAGCAGCAGCCTGAATTATGGATGGATAAATCCATGCTGTCTTGTTGTTTATGCCTAATACTGACCCTACCATCTGACTGTTGCAGTAGAAATTGAGTCTCATCTGATGTTTTTCCAGTGTTCCTTTGTCCAGTTTTGGTGAGTTCATGCCTATTGTAGCGTCAGTTTCCTGTCCTTAGCTGACAGGAGTCATACAGGTGTGCGGTCTTCTGCTACAGTAGCCCGTCTGCTTCAAGGTTCAACATGTTGTACATTCAGAGATTCTCTTCTGTATACCTTGGTTTTTACCGAGTCATTATTTGAGTTGTTGTTTAATTTTTATCAGATTGAACCAGTCTTGCCATTCATTTCTGACCTCTGCCATCAACAAGGCATTTTTGCTCCGCTGCTCACTGGATGTTTTTTCCTTTTCAGCCCATTCTCTGTAAACCTTAGTGATGGTTGTGCATGAAAATCCCAGTAGATCAGCAGTTTCTGAAATACTCAAACCAGCCCATCTGGCACTAATAAGCACAGCACATTCAAAGTAACTTAAATCACCTTTCTTCCCCATTCTGGTGTTTGATCTGAACATTAACTGAAGCTCCTGACCTCGATCCGCATGATTTTATACATTGTGCCACTGACATATGACTGGCTGATTAGATATTTGCTTCAACAAGAAGTTGAACAGGTGTAATTTATTAGGTAAGAACTTGATTCATCACATGCAGGACAAGAATACAGCTAGTGGTGATTCCCCTGGACCCTGACAGAAGGATTATACCAATATGGGGGGGGGGAGCTCATACAGTAGGTGCCATAAATCAAGACAACCGTTCACACTCCTTAATAATATGGTGTTTATTACACAGGTTTATCTTCAACATTACAAATTGCACTTAGCGGGAAATGATTAGCAATCACTCCTGTATTAAAAAAAGTCTGGCCATGAGTATTCCAAAGGCAAGAGCAATCAGGAGATGGGTGAACCCACAATGTTAGAAACTTAGTGTTTGTATATATATATATTTATATATATATAATCTATATATGTATGTACATGTATATACATTTATGTACAATTACAATGGAAATGAAACATATACAACACTACACAACAATGCTATATACAGTCAATAAATACAAGCCAGGGCATGAAAAGAAAGGGGAAGACATTCTGTGAACTTTTTCATTATAAAAATACAAAAAATACAAAATTCATCCTTAATTCTAGCCCCTTACCCAATTCAGGTTCATGGGGAGGACAAACCACACCACAGAGGACAAAGCAGGGGCCACCCTGGACGGGACGCCTGTCCATCCCACGGAGGACAAAGCAGGGGCCACCCTGGACGGGACGCCTGTAACCTGCACACTCACACACTAAGGGCATTCGGAAGCTCGTTCCCCTGCATTGTACCCTGAGCTTTGGCTCAAGGCTCCCTGTGATTTTTTACTGAAAAAATAGAAAATTTTAGCTTCTAATTCTTAGTGACAGGAACATGGAACTGGGTTCTTCCATACTCAATATGCAAAAAATATTCTGCAGATCCACAAAATCTGGCTCTGCTGCATGGTGACATTTGTAAACCAGGTGGTGAAATTAGAGGGCAGTCACATTTCTGAAGAAAAAAAAAGTCAATTTCTACGCCCCTCTCCAGCTTTCCGGGGCTGTGACCAAACCTGAGGCCAGCGTCCACCAAAACCTCCTTACTTCATTTCCAAATGTGGGCCAAATACTGTTATTTGACTTATTCACCCAGCACTTGTGACTGTGAATGTGGATAAAACAACACGGAATTTGGTTTGATTTCAGCCTGTTTCCCCGAGCTGCAGCCAATGCAAACTGCACTGCTAAATAAAAGATGTTTGATGCACTTTTCATGGTCATGTGGGAGATGGGGAAGGTCTCTTTGTTTTTGGAATCCCCCCCCCCTCTTGTTTGAATCCATGCACTCAGAAGCTGAACGTGCTGTTTGTTCGCAGGTGAGCAGCGTGAGCAGAAACATCACAAAATAACACTGTTACCATAACAACGTGTCAGCAATTAGACATCACAGGGGCTCATTTCAAGCACAGCTGATCGGTTCGGTCTTGGTTTGGTGTTTTCTTGCCCCTTTTCATGTTTCCAACATGTTGAGTTTCCTGTGTTCCACAAAGGCTGCAGGAAGAGACATCCGTCCACAGTATCTGGGAACACTCAGGTGAAAGTGTTCAGGTCTGAAAGTTCATTTAAAGGCGCCACCAGGGGGCGCCACACCCAGCAGGTCACACGCTTTCTCCGTTATCGGACCGAGCAAAACCCAAGCGCTAGACAGAGGCCAGATCCACAATTTTGATTCAGTTAGAAGTTTTTAGTGTTAAGACCTCATCACGGCTTCTTTTCATGCGAAAATCAGTTTCTCACCAGGGTAGGTCGCCATGCCGTGGCACCTCTAATCGAATTCCACCACTCCTTTTACCTTGGATCCCATGCCGGGAACAGAACCAGAAACGGAGCTACCTAACTGTTCCGTTCCTCTGCCTGTCAAAGTCAGACATGAGTCCGCCTCTTAGCAGCGGCCGGTTCCGTGTCTCATCCCGGGGTGGAGTCGTCGGCGGCGGGATGCAGGAGGTGGGTCTGGGGGCAGTGGGGGCCTTTAGAATAAGCCCTTAGCTATTTTGAGGCCCCGGTGCTTCATGCGCGGTAATGTGGAGCTAGACACGCTCTTGGGCCTCGCTGGCTTGGGGGGACCACGTTTCCTCAGGACAAAATCGTAGTTGGCTGAGGAGTTCATGGCATAGAAGACGTTGGCGTTGTCCGGGATCTTCAGCTCTGTGAGAGAGAGAGGGAGAGTGCAGGCATTAACAACACAGTTTAATGCTGTGAATAAGCGGAACAACAGCCTGGGATAAAAAACAAAATCAAGGATGAAAAAAGCCGGTTTTATGAGGGTGTGACGCACACCTTTTTCGTCTGAGATCTTCTGCAGCAGCTCATAGTCCTCTGGCGCCTCACAATCCAGGTTGTGCTTGACCATGGCCTTCCGGATCACTGCCGGGGTCTTGTCCTGGCTGGTCACCTATGACACGGCCAGAAACATTCAGAACCATCTCAGGTGGCTGGTTTGTCATGGTGTGCTTCTTTATGTTAGTGTCTGATTGTTTTTTTTTATATCTTGGCATCAATGACAGGAATTGCTACATGTCAGAGCCAAACACCTGTGCAATGTTCTTAATCAGCAGCGCATGGTTCTCTAAAAATAACAGAATTCCTTAATAAGAGCCCAGCGCAATGCCAGATTCCCCAAGTCACATGGTTCTGCCCAATAACTTGACCTGATTTGAATTTAATCACCCAGATCTTCTCACAGGAAGTTGTTAAAATGATGAGGTGGAGGTCAGAGGTCAGCACTTACCAGGATGCTCTTGTACATGTTGCCGTTGTCCAGGTCCAGGCTGATGCGCACGATGCAGCAGTCATCTGTCTGCTGGTTGTAGAGGGGCAGCGAGAGCGAGGAGTAGCTGGACACGCCCGACACGGAGCGCTTGTGGGAGCGGGAGGCCGCCACCGGCGTGGACGACACCGAGGACGAGGACGTGCTGCTGGAGGCCGAGCTGGAGCCCATGCCCGACGTGTCTAATGAGGATAGTGAGGTGCACTCCCACAACTGGCCAGCAGGTGACGCCACCGAGCAAGGAGAGAGAAACACCAACCCAGACGTCAACAACGTGGTTCAATGTCTGACTGTCTGCTGGGAGTGGATAAGCTTCCCTTTCCTAGATGTTTCGAATACTAAATAAAAAGCTAGCAATTAGTGTAAGAAGATCATAGCTAGCTAGCTGGTTAGCACAACATGCTGCTTCAGCATCTCGTATATAAGGAACGGGTTTATTTGCAGTTTTTCTGAATTGCTAAAGCACATTTCTTGAGACCTTCCATCCTATTCTCAAAAACACTAAACACAAAACTCAATTTTCAAACCACGTTCACAAAATCTTTTTTTACCCCTTTTGCAAAATCAAACAATTTACTTAAAACTACCACAGTTTTATCTTTGATCTTTGCTCACAAACAAACACTGCAAACAGATCATGTATTAAACCAGTGAATACATAAACGCTGCAGCAAAAACTAAAAACACTGCCAGTCAAAACTGTCTCTGGCATGTAGGGAAACATGTTTATCATGGATATGGTCTTTTGCATGTTGTTACAAAACTGTAAAGTAAAAAACTGAAAAAAAATTGTTTGGCAAAAGTGTTTGTATACAATTCCATGTAAAGCAATATTTAATGTAAAGGACAAAGTAATCCAAATTAAAGGAACACTAAGTAAAATGTTGTACAACTGCCAAGCCAAAGTCAAGCAAGAATATTCATTCTGCCACATTGTTATGTCTCAGGACAGGGAATTCTGTCGGCATCACTGGAAATTCTCTCCGTTTCTAGACAACGGGGGAAGAATCCTCAATAGTGCCCCATCCACACCCTGACATCCAAATCCGACTCACCTATGGCGGCACTTGCACTCTCATCCAGCACATATTCTATGTTCTAGTCACTCTTTGGCTTCTACTCATTTTTAAATATGTGAACAGTTTTCAGTCATTGTGTCTAAATGCTGACTACTGTGTGCTGGCTGTGCTTAACTTCTGCGGCCTGCTGAAGTTAAACAGTGCGGCATTGAGGTTCAACGTGGTGCAAAATGTGTTTTGATGAATGAAACTGTATTTAGAGTTTTACAAAACAGGGTGAGTCAGATCTACAAATCATGTCTAACTAACTGAACACTGTTTAAAGTTTCGCTGAATGAGCGATTGATTAGTTTTGGAAATTGACAGATTTGTCCCAAGAATGGGGTTTAGTGTTTTAGCAATTCAGAAAAACTGCATTGTATTGCGGTTTGATCGGTGGTAAACGGCACGGCTGCCCTTACCTTCTTCTCGTGGCCATCAGGGGAGTTGGAGATGAAGCTGACACTGACATCCTCCGTGTCAGAGCTGCTGGAGCCGCCTGAGGTGACGCTGAGGGAGTCGGCCCCATCCCCCGGCCCACTCCCCGGTCCGCCCACGTAGGGCGAGTAACGCAACTGTTCAAACGACTTGGAGTGGGGGCTTCCGCAGCTGCTGTCTCCGAAGACTGACTGACGACTGCCAGACAGAACGGAGAAGCACATTACAACATGCACTATATGGACAAAAGTATCGGTACACCTGTAGTAATTACAGGTCATTGGACACCTTTGCACACCATTGGACAGCATTGGACAGCATTGGACACCTTTCCAACAAGTCGGTTCTCCTCATTTGTGTCCTGCTAAAGCTGCCCTGATCAACCACAAGTGAAGTGATTATGAAGTAGAAACATCTGGGCAAGTCCAGCTGTGAAGTGGGGGCCACACAGGGTCACAGAAAGGGACCTGATCACCCAGCATCAATACCCAACCTGAACGGAAGCAAATCCCACCAGCAATGTTCCAGCATCTAATGGAAAGCCTTCCCAGAGGAGTACAGGCTGTTATAGCAACTATGGGTCAGTCAGCTTCATATGAATGTCCTTTGATTTGAGTGGATGTTGGATTTCTTAGCTTTTAAGCCGCAGAACTTTTTAGAAAAAGCCTCTGCCAGATCAACGGTATACTGTTTACGTAAACGCTTAACTACTGTCTCAGGGCATCACCCCCAAAGATGCCCTGGGGGTTTTCAGCTGAGGGAAGCCCAGGGCCTGTACGAATGACACACACAGGGTCGCGGGACTCACTCGCTCCAGCGCTTCATGATGCTGATGTTCTTCTTGGCTTTCAGCGTGTTGCTGGCTGACTCTGACAGCGGCTCAATTTCACACGATTGGCTGTAGCTGGAGACAGAGGCCCAGGGTCAGGGATCAAAGGTCAGGGGTTAAGTTCATTCACGTGGTACCTTTTTGCTTGCCTTGATGTCATAGCAACCAATGTAGAATTCAGCTTTGTTTACGAGGGGATTCTCTTGGTCTGCTTCCCACGAGACTTCTTTTATTACGAGTGGTCAGAATGTCATTGCTTTGAAAGCGAGCTCTCAGAAAGGCTGGAAGTCAGATACATTGAGTGTTTAGCAGACATCTAGAGTCCAGCTCACCTTTCTGCCTCAGTGAGTTTCCCCAAGCTGAAGAACCACTCCCGGAAGCGCCCATCCCGAGTGAAGCTGTAGTTGTTACAGGCCAGTTGAAGCAGCTTGATCTGTGCAATCACCTCAAACTCCTACACACACAAGGGTCAGAGGTCAGGGGTCAGAGGGCGGACCATTCTCCAATTATCTAGTTCCCAGCATTTCAGGGCTGAAATCGACAGGAAGACTCACCTTTCTTCTCTTGTCGAAGTTGATCAGCTCACCCTGCAAAGAGAGAAAGAGTGTGGAGGAGAGAGAGAGATGGAGAGAGAGAGTGAGTCCATAAACAGTCCCTGTCACACTGCAGTGATCTAAAATTAACCAGTCTAAACAAGACAAGAAAGTAAATTTGCCCATATTATCCAGCTACTTGAGAGAGGGTAGGAGTCAATTATAAATTAACAGTTATTGTGTATAATTATCCTGTATAATTATTGCTACAATTATAAATTTACAATTATTATGTATAATTACTGTGTATGATTATTGTGGCAATTACATATTTATACAGGAGAAGAAGCGGTAAGATCATCAGCTCAGAGGTCCGCCGAGGGTGGGGGTGACTGCAGAGACTGAGACAGGCCCGACGTACCTCCACGTAATCTTTCATGGCTGTGTCCATCATGACCAGGTCGGTGAGGAAGGTGCCCAGGTAGGGGATGGTGCCCTGCATGACACCCTGGAAATCGTAAGCAAAAAGGATGTCACGCACGCCAAACCCGGTCATCCGAATATTCTTCACATGCTGGATCCAGCTCGCTGGAGTTCCAGCCTAAGAACCGTGCATAAAGTCACCTCCTCACTGGCGACCCAGCCAACCTCAAGGCTAACTAACAGGCGGTTTTATGAAGGCCAGATTTTGCCATCGAACTGAACTGTGTCGTCAAGGAAACGACAAAACAATGAGTAAGATGAACAAGAATTCCCAATACAAAGATAGGAGATGAGCACAGACACGGCTCACCAGAAATAAGGTCAGAAAACCAAGTGTTATACTGCAAGGGAAGACTGTCTTACACTCTGCGTGAATTACATAATCAGCCCATTTTCTGAAATAACAGTAGCAGAGAACTTGCTTTAAACCAGGTGAGGCCGAGCTTATCCACCAAGGGAAGGCATGTATGCAGGTTTTTAGGGTAATCTTTGTGTCAGCTGTTCAAGCCCAAGGGCGAGGACTCTTCATCCAATCAGTCCTCTAATTAGCAATGTGATGAAGCAGTTGCAGCGAAATCCAATTTTAATTTCTATATTGCAACCACTAGTGGGTGCTAGGGGCAAACTATTTAAGCAAACTGTTACTCCAGATTGTTAATCCAAATCCTTCTTTCTTAAAGCCCTTTATTATGTGAACGATTATGGGGGAAAAAAACCCTGAAATAAAGCTACTATTCAGAATCACATCATAGGAAACACTTCAGAAAGTGTTTCCTATGAAGTCACAGGCCTGTGCCAATTTGATGGGAATCTCTGGTCTGTGGGTCATCAGGAAGGTTTGATTCAAGTTTCAAGGAGTGAATGGTGTAGTGGGAATATGAGAATTTACCCTGAGGATGGAAGTGCAGCCACATACAGTGGCGGAGAACTACTCAGACTCAGCGGCACAACGATAATCTGGGGGGTGCAGACCAAGTTCACCACAGCTATTATCTCCCCCCCCCAGCGCCCCAGGTGACTCACCAGCTCCCTCTGCTGCTGATGCCTCTTCTGTGCTCGCTTGGGATTCACCTCCAGGGTGGCAAACTTCGAGGTTCCCTCCTGCAGGGACCAAAGACACCGGGGGTGAGGTCATTTCCGCATCGTGCTTCAGACAATTGGCTGGCACTTTGCCCTAAAGCCCTTATGTAGTTCAGCTGGGCTTTTTAAGTGGAGCAGAACCTCCTGAGGGCAAAGCACCGCAGCGACACCCCTGTGGGGATCCCAGCCAGAGATAAATGCAGTCCCCTTCCCAGTAGGTCATGAATGTCACACACAAAGATGAGCAGAGAATATTCTTCCTGCCTCTGTGAGGTGCCGGCCAGTACGGGGAAGCATTTCGCTTCACACTCAGCCTGTACATGATGAAGCCCAATTAAGCTGGAACAGGCAGGTCAGGAACCCGGATGATTTAATATAGCTGTGCATGTGGTGCAGCAAGATGTCGGCCATGTCCTGGGGAGATAATGTACTGGGGGTGGGGGGTGTTGGGGGGTGCTGTCCCGGGGTATCCCTCACAGGCACGTTCTTGCGTGTCATCAGCGTGTGGCCCTTATCAATCCCAGCCAAGCCGCCTGCGACGTCATCAGGGATTCCCTTCACCCCTCCCTCTCCCTTTCACACACATTCTAGAAGCACTCAGCATGGAGACACGCCCTGAGCACTGGATGGAATCCAGAGAATGCAGAGCTGGGGCCCCTGTCTGGGCACGTAGGGCGCTGCGTCACTCGCACCACGCGCTAATGGCCCAGCAGCTCTACCCAGAATCATCACAGTACCCATAATCCCACCGCAAGCAGCATGACATCATTGCCCATGTAAGGATTCATTAAGGATTGAAGTGGCTGTACTAAGTCTGCCTGCACTACTAGGAGAATGCGGAAGGGTTTTCTGTTTATTCTTGTTTACTGGGAGAACTGGGATGGTCTCTGGGCTAATGAAGATTTGGGTGAGCATGCAGGCCATTAACGGGAAATCACTCCTAGCCTTTATGACTAAGCAGTTTGAATAAGCGGGTAAGCAGGTGAGTCAGTGTTTTGGGGAATGAAATCGATGATTATGTAGAGATGGAAAATATGTTTGCATTTATTTATTTATCCAGCAGACGGTTCACTTACAAGTCAATATACACAAATGGATTAAACAACAGAGCCTCATGCACACGATCTGTAAGGGTGCAGGGCGCAGGGTGGGCGTCAGAGTGCGGGGCACAGAGGGGGTCACACTCACCTTGATCAGCAGCTCCCGGCTGAGCGAGTGGTTGTTCTCATCAGAGAAAATCTCTGAGAGCTCACTGAAGATGCGAATGCTCTCCCTGTACGGGGGAATCAACCAGGGAGAGAACAAGTTAGCAAAGAAAACGGTGTGGCACTGAGCTCCAAAGCCCCCTATCACACATGAAGACATGCACAGTCACATGCAACCCTCCCCCCCTCACCTGGACACCTCGTCCCAGGTACGTTTCAGCCGGTGAATGGAGTTGCACTGCAGGGCGGAGAGGATGGCTCGCAGGGAGGAGAAATTCTTCAGTATGCGACACTCCTATGAACACCAAGGTGGGGGGGTCAATAATCCAGATACACCTCAAGCACCCCCCTTGCACCCCGAAATGGCACCTTACCCTGGCCACCTCGATCCAGCGCTCCACCAGCCTGGCGCGCTGTGCTGGCTTCAGCGAGCGACACCCCAGGCACGAGGCGATGACGCAGTTGGTGACACAGTTGAACTGTGACACGGTGGCCCGGACACTGGGGGCCACATGCTCCTTGCCCTTCTTGTCCCGTTGGGACCAGATGCTCCCCAGACAGTGGTAGGGGACCACCTTCTTAAAGAGCTCCTGGGGTGGGGGATCAGGTAGGGGTAGGAGGGGCAGAAAGGAAGGAATTCAGAGTAAGTTAGAGGTGATGGAGCTCAATGAAAAGGATGGGGGTGTAGGGGCCATGGTCATTCACCGAGAACATAAAGAGGGAAGCACTTGGAATGTTCTAGAACAGTGTTTCCCAATCCGGTCCTTGCGGATCCACAGACAGTCCGTGTTTTTGCTCCATCTCAGCTCCCGGGGGAATGGGTTGAGAAACACTGCTGTAGAAGATGAAGGACTGGGTGATGGTGTAGGGTTGTGTTAATTCTGTTGACGCCTGCATCCCTCACCGCGTCCATGAGTGTAAACTGCTCCGCCACCAGCACAGGGTCAAAGGTCAGGAAGTCGGGCCGCTCGTCCTCGAAACCGCTCTCCTCCAGCATGGCAAAGGGGCAGCTGACATGCTCGGGCCCTGAGGGAGATGGGTATGGCGTCAACATGGTGCATTATGGGATACCCGCTCTCCCATCTGCGCCACGCCCCGGCCGCCCCGTGCTGGTCTTTGCTTACCCTCCAGGCGGGGCTCCAGGTGCTGGCTCCGGCGGTACTGGGCCAGCAGGCCACATGCCCTGCGCTCCAGGTCCGAACCAGGGAAGTGCAGCTTCACGAAGGGGACCAGGCGCTGCAGGCAGCCGTGCTCCGGAGGATTCCAGAAGTCTTCAGAATACTGATCCAGCCAGGCACCCAGGATGGACGAGATGGCACTGCAAGGGGGGTGGGGGGGGACATGACACAATGTTAAGCGTGGAGGACGGGTGGAGACCCTGTGCTGACAGGGGATGCCCACAGCCCAGTGCCCTCTTTTCCTCCCAAAAAACTCACTTCTTCCTCTCAGTTCGGTCGTCCTGTGCCAACCGTGGCCCTTCTGCCCCAGTCTGCTGCAGCTTGGCGTGTCTGCAAGACAGAAAAGCAGAACGGTCAAGAGGAAGGTATTTTAATGAGCAGCCCTATCCCAGAATGCTTTGCTTGAGGTACAGCAACAGCCTTACAGACTAGAGGCAAATGTTTTAAAGGGAAGCCCACAAGAAAATCAAGTTTTGGCTTTAAAGGGGACAGATGGGGGCCTTCTAAGGAGACCACGGATCCACGATCGCTCCGTACCTGTCCAGCAGCAGGTCCAGCACCTGCTTGGTGGAAGCGAAGGAGCGATAGGTGCAGAGGAAGATGGTGACATAGGTGGAGTCGTTCCCTCGGAAGGCGGACACCATGTACTCCACCAGCTTGTCCAGCGTGCCCGCCTTAATCGTGCGCACCTTGCACGTCTCGTACAGGCTGAGCGCCGCGTCCGTCTCCACGCCCAGCCAGCGCTGCCCCTTGCTGGCTGTCTGGTGCAGCTGCACCTTCCGCAGGGTGATGGTGTAGATGGCCCCAACCTCTGCCTCCTCCCCGATCTCCTGGGTGGAGTTCTGCCACAGAGAGATGGGCGGTGAGCGACGTGGACTTGGGACCTTAAAGACTGCCGGCTCGCGTGCGGGACTGGGCCCCGCTGTTGGACCGTTGAGTGAGGCACATTATCCATCATGGGTAATGGCACAAGCTGCTTTGGATAAACGCTAGGAAGCGGAATATTGGAATTAGGCAGCAGGAGAATGCTGAGAATTCGCCCCCCCCCAAATCACAGACACCCTCCTGATTTTGTTGTCCGGAACAAACCCAAAAAAAGCCAGGGGAGTGAAAAAAAAAACAAAAAAAACACAAGGCCACTGCAGCACAAGGCAGGACCCTGTGCAGGCGGAATCCGACTCCTGTCTATTTTGGCCTCAGTTCCAAAGCCAGATAAACGGGCAGCTGGAACTAAGGGGGTCACAGCAAAAGCACACAGATCACCTTCTCCCCCCGTCCCTGATGCCCCTGAGTGGTGAATCTAAAATCTCTCTTCCTTTGTTTTGAATAATGTGCTGTGTTGTGGTAAAAAGAAGATTCAGTGACAAAGTGGAGGGTTTTGACTGGCTAAGGGGGGGGGGGGGAGGTGAAAAATAAGTCATGCTGACAGGAGACACATGCTGCATTGTTCCCCCAAGTGCCACCCCCACCTCATCGGCCTTGTCTGGAGGCACTCACGGCCAAGCTTTGCGTGACTCGGCCCCTGGCTGTCAGCCAATCAGGAGATGCTGCCTGCCCTGTATGCACTCTGATAGGTCACGCTGAAATAGGGGGGCGGTTCTTGTTGCGCGATGGACTGCCGCAGTGTCACATTGACCCTGGGAGTGCGTGTGCTAGTAAGGGAAGGGGGGGGGGGGGTAATACTGTAGGAGTATCAGCAGAGGTGTTCCAGCAAGGACGGATTTCCTGCACTTTGCAATCCCCCACCGTTTCCCAAGGCTGGATCAAATGCTAGACAAAAGATTTATTTAAAATTAAGTGCACCCTCTAGAAAGAATCTGACTGGCCCTTAGGGAGACGCAAGTCCCTTACAGGGGACACAGAAAGCAGTCCGAGCATCCACGTGATGGACCAATCAGAGTCCACACTGAATTGACAGACATCTATAGCTGCACCAATGGATGAAATGTTTATCTCCACGGTGACCAGGATCAGTTACTTTCTGTAAGCAATAAAGTAAACAAATCAAGGAGAACTGACCTCTCTGTGTTTTACTCGTTTCACACTGAATGCAGTGCTGACAGGAATGATGCATCGATACTTTGAGTAAAACCACAGGCAGGAAGGAAGAGAGACTTTTCCATTTCAGCTCAAAATAACAGCATTTCAGCAGCTGCTGAATTACGCCACGTCGGACTCGCCGTGGTGAAATACGATCCGATCTCTTATGACACGGCACTTACTCATGTTAATCATTGCTATGGCGACAAGGGGAGCTCTTTGTTTCGGGGGGGTTATGGTCGGGTGGTGACAGGCGGATGCCCAATTTGCCTGCGGAACGGTCACTTAAAAAAAATGTCATCTGAGGCGTTTTAGAATAGACTGGCTTTCAGCTTGCTTGTTGTTACTAAGAGGCACTCAGACACACACACACACACACACACACATTTATGTAGCAACTAGTGTTATGATAGTTGAGTTTTTATTTAGTTTTTGTTTTTGTATGTGTTCAATTTTCATCTGAAATTCAATTTAATTTTAGTCCATTTTCAGTGTGCTTTTATTAGCTCATATTTTGCAGCTACATTTCCATTGTTTTCACGTTTTAGTTTCAGTTTTAGTCATTTTATTTCTAGCGACAGACTGAAAGTTGTAGGGCCATTTTCTGTGTCTGACCTTCAGAGAATGCTACATGAATAAACAGTGCACATTATTAATGGCCATTAAAGACAAATAACAGAAATGGCAACGCAAAGTTTGACGCATATTTTGTATGTGGTTTCATAAGGAAATAAAACCTACAGTGTAGTTTTCAAAAGCAATTTCTATATTTTTTTATTTAGTTGTAGTTTTATAGTTCTAGTTCTTAATTTTGTTTACAAAAATGTTTTGTTATAGTCTTCGTTTTTCATTAATGGTAATAATGCTGGTAGAAACACGCGTGTAGCAAACAAAAGGAAACAGACTAGCATAAAACTGCAAAAATCTGCTTCTCAAGCTACATTATCACCCCCAGCAGCCCGAGCTGGGACAGGCTGAGGCATCACCATGGTAACAAGACCCAAAGCAAAAAGGACCCTGAGTAAACCAGCCGCCGGACCTGGAGACGGCTTACCCTGGGTTTCCATAGAGACAGGGGAAATACCGCAAATACACCGCAGCAAGGACCAGCAGCAAACAAGACTGATCCCTAACTGTATGTCATATCTCTGAGGCACAAATGGGTGTAACGTCAACCACGTTCACGCAAGATTTGAAGCGGTTCAGAAAACACGTCTGTCCCATCAGTGCTCCCGAGTCACGTCAGGCGAAGACCGCGGAATACGAAGCTGAGTGAGCCCCACGAGAGCAGCAGCCCCACGACAGCAGCAGGAAGAGCCCCCAGGACCCTGACGTCTGCTAAACCTCCAGCAAAGTGTCTATTTGAACCGCCCAGCGGACTGGGACTAGCATAACCCGTTCGGGAAGACAGGATCTGTTTGCTTTACTTCCATTAGCCGCCGGGTTTTCCCCGTGTAATTTGCTGAGTCAGAATGCAGTAACCGTCTTGGGGTGTAAACTGCCCGCCATACACACCTTAAACTACAGATGGCAGGAAAGAATTACTCACTTTCCATTTAAGTGGCACAGAAACCGACGCCTGGAATTGAAGGTGAAAACCCCATTTCTCTGAGGGGCAGCTCTGTACAGGGAGCTTAGCATCACTGCTGAGCCGTAACGGCTGATGTTTATGTGGCTGTACCCGGGAGTCGAGGGCATGTGCAGGGATGTAGTTGTGGGTGCAGTGCCCGGAATGCAGCACTTTAATTGTTAGCTGGAGAAGCAAGATATGAAGTATCTCACTCTCACACGGACGCTCCTCCAGGCTTGTAACATTACATGGAGCCTGGATTTTCGTCACTCTAATTAAAACCTACAAACAGCTCCTGCAAAAGGCTTAAAAGAACATGCCCCCCCCCCCACCCCAGGACATCTGCAGCGGAAAAGATCGGAGTGCAGTGGGGGGGGGGGGAACAAGACCTCAGAGAGGCTTAGCTCATGCTTCATTGTCGCTGTCAGGCATCAGCAGACCTGTCCAGTCCCAGGAGGGGGTTGGGGGTTGTTCCCCCTTATCATGCCAGCACATGGTGGAAGGGGGGGTCTGATTGTGCACTTCATTTGCTTTTGTTTTTCTTTGCTGAGACAATGGATCACTGGTGGGAGTCCCAGGCGGATTCCCGCAGGCGTGATGCGGATCAGGAGACATGGGGGTGGGAGATCATGACCAGTGTGGATTTAAGGGGGGGGGGCGTCTTAAACAAAGACGTCATACCGTTTACCGCACTGCAGCCTGTGAACAACAGCCGACACAGAATGGGGTTAGCGGCGTGGAACTGGGGGGAGGGGGGGGGGGTGGGGGGGGGTGGTGCACAGATGGAGCTGGCATACTTGTGCAGACCCCACTATCTGTCACTGCAGCTTCATTAATTAAGTTTCTGAGGAGGAGCTCTGGTCTGCAGTGACCCCAGAGTGTTTCCCACCACACATTCCCCGCAGACTGGGAGGTCGGCAGCCCAAACAATTCAGCCCGGGAACTTTCCGGAGAGTACAACAGCAAGATCCGCAGCTGGGAGGCCAAGAACAGCAAAAAAAAAAAAAGAGATCCTCTCTCTCTCTCTCTCTGGTCTGAGTCCGGTGTGTATGTGTGCGAGTATGTGTGTGTGTTGGTAATTATTACATTGTGGGGACCACATTTCCCTATAATATGATAAAAACCTGTACATTTTTTAAATATTTTTTCGGCACCCACAGGGATAACCTCAATTTCATAAAAATTTGTGACTGTATTTTTGTTTTATTTTTAATATAAAAATATTTTGCCTGTATTTCCAAAGAAATGAATACAAGCATATGTCTGTGTGTGTCTGTGTGTTTATGCTGTTCTCGCATCCAATCCCCTTGGATTAAGTGAGGCAATCTGTAGTTATGTGCTATTTGTGCAAATTTCTTTCTTCAGTGAAGGAAAACATGAAAATGGGCCAGGCCATTCTCAGATTTCTGGATATCCTTCTTTTGTAAATTAGAGTGCATTTATGACAGGAATTTAGCAACCGGGAAATACAACAGGAGAGGTGAGCAGGAATGGAGGGGAGAGTGCGGAGCCCGGAAAGCAGAACAGCACACTGTACAAAAAAAACCCAGATAAAATGGAAAGCGAGCCGCGTGAGCAAAAGGGGAAGCGTGCAGCTGAATCAGACGTGGCCCCGTAAGCGGTGGCCATCGGAAATCCTCCAGCAGAAAGGGGACCCGAAAGCAGCAGAGCCTACTGCGATCATCGGAAAGACAGGGACGGCGATCCCTCTGACGCTAAAGGTGTACCCCCCACAGGTCTACCCAGAGTGCCAATCACTGACGCTTTATTGCGTCATAGTCCCCCCCCGAGCCACCCCGCCCTCTATGGCTGTCAAGGGAAGAGGTTTGCAGAGAGGCACCAATGGTGAGTAACATGACCCATTTTCAGCTGCAAACTTAGTGCTCCATCCTGCCTCAACCCTATCTCCACCTGGCCTCCATCCTGCCTCCACCCCACATCCATCCTGCCTCAATCCCGCTTCCATCCTGCCTCCACCCCACATCCATCCTGCCTCCACCCCACATCCATCCTCCATCCTGCTTCCATCCTGCCTCCACCCCACATCCATCCTGCCTCCATCCTGCCCTCCACCTCTCCACGTTTCTGACTTCAGTATTATCTCTCCCATAATTTCTTTAAGTGAACATGCCCACCATTCATGCTCTTGGTGTCTGCTGTCAGAGAAGCCTGGTGCAATTGACCTCCCAAACATTTCCAGGACATTATGTTCTTGGTGGGGCTGGGCTGACA